GCTTCCGTGAAGACGGACAGCCTTGGAGACCCTGTGGGCAGTTCCACTCTGTCCTCTAGGGGCGCTGTGGGTCAGAATGGACTCCAGGGCAGTGGGTGTGGTTTGGGCTTTGCTTCCATGAAGACTGACAGCCCTGGAGACCCTGTGGGCAGTTCCACTCTGTCCTCTGGGGGTGCCGTGGGTGGGAATCCGCTCCACGGCAGTGGGTCTGTGTTTTAATCTCTACAGGAGCAGGTCACCAGGTCTTTCCTCTGTGGAGCCGCTGGGGTTGGAACCACCGACCCTTTGGTTAGCGTTAGGCATTGCTCTGCCAGGGCTCCTTCCCACGGTCAGCGAGTTTCTGAGAAGATGGCCAGTGTCGTGAGTAAAGAATGCCCATTAGTGTAGGACAGGGGCGATGCCCCATCCCCGTGGGCCACAGGTGACAGGGGCTGAATCCTGCTGGGCAAGCGTGGACAGCTGCGGTGACCACAGCTGCACTGCCCGGTCCTGGGGTGCCCTCAGCTGGTAGGACGGGATCCCAGGTGCAGTGGTTCACGCGAGACGGAAGAGAAGCAGGCGACCTCCAGCAGCTGCGGAGCGAGCCCTTCCTCTGGTGACCGAGCTCTGTGCCTTGGCTGCTGGGAGGTGCACAGGGCTGGCCATCTGTTCATGCCAAGACTCAGGGTCTATCTGGTTCCAGAGGGCAGGGGGCGGGGCCGGGGCAGGTGGGGGAGTGGCTCTGGTTCCAGAGGGCAGGGGGTGGGGCCAGGGCAGGGGGCCGGTTCCAATTCCTGGAGGCAGAGGCTAAGATCCTGACCGGAGGTCCCCCCCAAATCATGCTCAGCCCCTCCGTCATGACTGGCATGTCTGCTGAACCCAGCAATCACCCAGCTCCATGCTGTGGGGTGGGGGGGGACCATACCCCCACCCTGGGGTTCCTGAGAGCCCCACCAGGCACCTCCAGCCCCAGGTGATCATCACAGGGCAAACATGTTGGTTTGAACCCAGGCTTGAGTGTTAGGGAGGAAGGGGGCACCTCGGCCCCTGCCAGTCTGGGGGGCGTGAGTCACGTTCCTCATCGGGTGTGTACAAGTGAGCAAGGAGGGGCAGGGCCACACGTTGGTCTGAGCTTCCCGCGGCTGCTACAACAAGCACCTCGGAGCAACAGAACTGCATCTTCACAGGGTCCTGGCGGCTGAGAGTCCAAGTTGGGGTGGGCCAGGCCCTTTCTTCTGGAGGCTCTGGGAGCCCTCTCTGGGGGTGGCCAGCAGCCCTGGGCGTTCCTAGGCTGATAGCTGCGTGGCTCCCATCTTGGTCTCCCACCTTCTCTCTGTCTCTCTCTCTCGTCTCTGTCTCACGAGGACAGCAGTCAGTGGGTTAGGGTCACCCCAGTAAGACCTCGCCCTAACTGGTTACATCTGCAAAGCCCTGTTTCCAAACACGGTCGTGTTCTGAGGTCCCGGGGGTAGGACTTGACCATGTCTTTGGGGACACTAGTCACCCCACAAAGAGCCCTAGTGGCACAGTGGTTACGCATTTGGTGGCTAACCACAGAGGTTGGTGGTTCAAACCCACCAGCTGCACTTAGGAGAGCGATGTGGCAGTCTACTTCTGTAAAGATTACAGCCTAACCTTCACTTCCATAAAGTAGATGCCCTATGGGGCACTTCTATTCTGTTTTATGGTGGTGCTGTGAGTCGGAGTCGGCAGTGGGTGTGGTTTGGGCTTTGCTCCTGTGAAGACTGACAGCCTTGGAGACCCTGTGGGCAGTTCCACTCTGTCCTCTAGGGGCGCTGTGGGTCAGAATGGACTCCAGGCAGTGGGTGTGGTTT